ATTGAGCTGATACAGACTTCAGGGAATAACAGAAGCCCCATAAACAGAAATTTGATTCTCTGGCTGGTGCCATTTTTATCTCTTTCTTTCTTTTTAAAGAGCTGGAGCCCCAATCTCCTTGATTATTTTATTCACATGTTCTTTTCTTTATCCAGATACATGATATCAACATTCACCCACTTCAGTGCTACTTTGAATTAAAGCAAATTCTGATGTTTTGCCAGGTTCCCAAGGAAACAAAAATAAAATTTCTCTCTACCTACTGTTTGGAGCAACAGGCAAAATAGAAAAACCTCACCCCATTTTTATGAAGCAGAAGACAAGCTCATGCTTGTAATCAGAACCCTGATGTCATTTCATCGTGTTGCTCGGAGCCGTCATCCCGTGTGAGTCCGGTGCTCTGCCTGCTCACCACCAACCCTGCAGCTGGATGTGGCCGAGACGAACACCAGAAGGGGACCAGTCCTGCTCTCCTTTGTGCGCACTCCCCCAGACCATCAGTAGCTCCCCCCCCCCCGCCGCCTTCTAGACGATTCCTCCATTCTTGCTTCTATTTCCTCCCTCTCAGAGGAAGACTTGGCTTCCGACATCACTGCAGAAAGTCAGGGAATCCGACAGAAGTTTTCACGAGCTCATTAGACCTCTCCTTCGACCTGTGCTTGTGCCCTGAGGCTATCATACCGTCTGTCACCGCCTTTCACTTAGCCGATCTCGCAAAGCCTCCTAACATTGCCCCCAGAGCATACACTTGATCTCTGTGTAGTCCGTTCCCATCAGAGAAGTCAGAACGGGTGTTTAAAATGGATGTTGGGAGGAAAAAAGAAATAGTGTGCCTCTCCTGCTCAAAAGTGACTCCCGTGTCACTCAGAGTGAAAGTCTGGCTCCTTACTTTGCCCTCCAAGCTCCTGGTCAGCTCTCTGACCTCCTGTCCATCATCCATCTGCTCAAACTACAATCTTCTTATTTATATACGTATAAATATATATGTTATATATATGATACATATAAATATATATAAAAAAATAAATGTTTAGTTATTTTTGGGAGAAAGAGAGAGAGAGAGAGTACAAGTGTCAGACGCTTAACTGACTGAGGCAGTCAGGTGTCCCTGTTTCATTATTTTTTGGAGTAAGCTCTACGCTCAACATGGACCTTGAACTCCTGACCTGGAGATCAAGAGTCTCATGCTCTACCAACTAAGTCATCCAAGTTCCCCTGCTTTGATATGAATATATATGTTTTTTAAAAACTTATTTTGATTATTGAGTGTTTTTTTTTTTTTTTTTTGATGGCTCCTTAAACTTCACACATAAGGCCCAGAGAGGCCCCCAGGTCCTGGCCTTGGCACTTTGAAAAGTGCCTTTGACATTTGATCTTTTTTAAAATGTTTATTTATTTGAGAGAGAGAGAGAGAGAGTCGGGGGGGAGGCAGAGAGAGGGGAGACAGAAGATCGGAAAGGGGCTCCACGCTGTCAGCACACAGAGTCTGATGTGGGGCTGGAACCCATAAACCGTGGGATCATGAGGAGAGCTGAAATAAATCTGACGCTTAACTCACAGACACCCAGGGGCCCCTGTGATCTTTTGATATAATGAGAAATAATAATTAGTCTTCATCCCTGGTCCCCAGCCCAGAGGCCCTAAAACTCTTGTAATTTCCAGAGTGAAAGAAATGAGAAGAGCATCTTCTGTTAAGCCTAATGACCTTAAGTACCTGCGTTCATGCTAATGAGCTGATGCCAAAGTCGGATGCTTAACTGACTGAGCCACTCAGGCACCCCTAAACTTGTTTTCAGTTGCAATGAATCTTGGACAATTTCCATACCACAATATATATGCCTCCCTCATCTTAACTTGCATAGTTGGTATTGAATGGGTATAATACCATACTTCATTAAACTAGTCCTCTGGTGGTGGACATTTTAGTTGTTTCTAGTTTTTTATTACAAAGAATATTTCAACGAACATTCTTGCATAAATGTTTTTGCAAACTTGTGCATATCCATAAGATTTTGTTGTTGTTGTTGATTTTCTACTGCATTAGAATGTAAATTTTAATGTGGGCAGTGGCTTTCGTTTGTTTATTTCAGTATCCTCAGAATTTTATTCCTAGAGCCTAGCATATAGTACGTGCTCAATAAATACGTGACCACCTACCATTGTATACCCATCAGGAGTACAATCTGATTGTAAGAAGATTTGTAAAAATCTTAACAAAACAACTTCCAAATTAGGAGTTGGACAATACCAAGTGCTGACAAAGATGTGAAGCAACTGAATCCTCGTGTCCTACTGAGAGTGTAAATTAGTATTTTGCTTTAGAAAGCACACTGATAACATCTCATATGTGTATATTCTAGGGCTAACCACTTTCCTTCCGAGGTATATATTAAGCTATTCTCTTGCACATGCGCTCAAGGAGAGACATTTACTGGAATTCCAGTACTCTCGTACTGAACAAAGGCAATGCACAAAATTGTATAAAATTATCCAACACCATTGTAATATTGTATTACTCTCCCTCCACACGTGCATATCGCACATTACTTTTTGTTCTGACCCATTTGAGAATAAGCTGAGTACATCCCGATTAAATTAGAAAGCTGCAGGGGCGCCTGGGTGGCTCAGTCAGTTTTGAGTGTCCTGATTTTGGCTCAGGTTTGAGCCCCACATCGGGCTTGACATGGACAGTGCAGAGCCTGCTTGGGATTCTCTCTCTCCACCTCTCTCCATTACAATGAGAGTTAAAACAAGACCGCATGTTAAATCTAATCAAGTGCTTCTTGGTGTTTTCTTAAAATACCACTTTACTTCAAAATCTGGCCCCGGTTTCTGCACCTGGTGAATATGACACACCCAATAAATGCTTATTGGATGAACAAATGAATATTCGTCTCTAGATCTTTCTACATCTAAGCCCTACTAACTTGAGTCAAGGCCAAGTTCCTCTTGAAGACTCCCTCTTCAGGGGCTCCTGCTATGGGGCTGGGCATCACCAATAGGCTTTGACTCATCAAGGACAAGAGTCTTTTCTTATTTCTTCTGCCTCAGAGATAGTTTCTTTCCTCATTTACCACGTGTTCTGCAGTTAACTATTGAGCTTCCTATGTGCCTGGGTGGCTGTCAGTTGGGCGTCAGACTTTGGCTCAGGTCATGATCTCGTGGTTCGTGAGTTCGAGCCCTGCATCTGGCTTTCTGATGTCAGCTCGGAGCCAGCTTCGGATCCTCTGTCTCCCTCTCGCTGCCCTTCCTTTGCTCTCTCTCTCTCTCAAAAATAAGCATTAGTTTTTTTAAAATAAAAATAACCTATTTATCTCCCAATTAGGGAGGACCTTTCTTATTAATCACTGTGTCTTTTTGAAGGCTCACACATAGTGGGTTCACTGGAAATGCTTGAACAGCATTAAATGAAACACTATATTTCCACGTGTCCAATACAAAGGCATACAAATGGTTTTTAAGCTGTTTTTTTTTTTTAATGGTTTCAGATTCACAGAAAAGGTGAAAAGATTCCCCTTTACTCCTTTTACACTGGTTTTCCCCATTGTTTATATCTTATACTACTTTGGTACATTTGTCACAACTGAGAAATATTGATACATTGTTATTAATGAAATGCCCCACCTTATTCGGATTTCACTAGCTTTTCTCTGATGTCCTTTTTCTGTCTCAGGGTCCCATCCTGGATACCACATTACATTTTGTCATATCTAGGCTCCTTTAGTCTGTGATGTTTTCTCAGATGGCCCTTATTTTTGAAGGCCTTTGGAAGCTTTTGGAGACTGTAGAATATTCCTCACGCTTAGGCTGAGATTATAGGCTTTGGGGAGGAAGCTCACAGAGATGAAGTATCATTCTTATCACATCGTATCAAAACTCTGTGCTATGCTGCTTCGGATTCTGCGTCTCCCTCTCTCTCTGACCCTCCCCTGCTCACACACTCTCTCTTTCTCTCTTGCTCGCAGAAATAAATAAAACATTAAAAAATTAAAAAAAAACTCTGTGCTATGAACATGACTTATCATTTGGCCTGGGTAGTGTTGACCAGGTTTTTCCATTGTAGAGCTATCCCCTCCTCTCTCATTCCACAGTCTGTTCTTTGGAAGGAAGTCTGAAAATTAATAAAAGGAAAGCTCATTTAGAATGGAGCGGGGAGGCCAGCAGGGGGAGCTCTCGCTTCCCTGCACTCTCGCCAACCCACCAGGGACGCAGGGACCTTGCAGGTGGACGCGATTCCGGAGGGAGGAAGGAAGGGTTCCTCCCGCAGCCCCTCCCCCCGCTGGCAAAGCCCAGCCAATGATCAGCCAATGAGAAGCTACTACGCTCCGAGCTCCGGTTTATTCTAATGGACTTTTTCTTCATAAAATCCTTCCCAATCTCCTTTTCTTTATAAATAAGGGTTCCCTTCCTTTGTTCTGGGGACTTGAATGTGGTTTTGCCACGGCTCGCTTATCCAGTATTGCAAGCCTCTGCTACCCCTGAATAAACCCACTTTTCTGCTGGTGAAACAGCTGGCGGGATTATTTTAAGGTTAACGCAAGTCACTGAGCTCCTCTGCCGGAGGGGGTAGTAACGACACAGTTATTTGTAAATCTGTACTGGGAGAGTTGTCTCTTCTCCCTCATTTATTTATATTAAAGCGTTTCTAGACATATACGAGTAACAGCTCCAGAAACTTCTTTCTTTTGCATTGTGAGGCTCAAAGGCAGGTTAGCGCCGGGAGTTACTTCCCCAGGGAGCCTCCAGCGGCAGTAACAACTGTGTCATGACCGTGGGGGGGGGGGGCGGTCCCCAGGGGCGCGGTGCAGTCAGGGGCATGGGGCACAGGGCACTACCTGTGAGGGGGCCCCAGAACCCGTTCACCCTCCACCTGCCTTGGATCGCGAACACCCCTTGGCCAACGTGCTTGGAAAACAGCTCTTGGGAGTGTGCGGTCCGTCCAGGCAACGGAAATTTCCAGCATCTCTTGCCTTGCGCAACGCCCCGGTGCAACAACAATAATGGCTGGCGGCCGCAGGCGCCCTCAGCCCCCGGGACGGGAGACAACGCCACAGATAAGCAGCGCGGCTAGAGGCCGGGGGCGGCGCGGAGGAGGTGCGGCAGCTGCGGGCGGGACCAGGGCCTGGGACGCGGGGGCGTGTCTGTGGGCGTGGGCGTGGGCGTGGCCCAGGGGCGGTGCCGCGCGCGGGGCGTCGGGAGCGCGGCGTGCAGGCGGCTGCGGCGGCGGCGGCGGCGGCGGCGGCGGCGGCGGCGTCCACCTCAGAGGCGGTTGCTGCGCCCGGTACTGGGATCGCTGCCTGAGGCGCAGGCGCGGTGGACTCCGCCCGGCCCGGGCCTCGGCTCGCTGCGGGCTCGTCATGGCGACCAAGCAGAGGCCCTACCACCTGGTGGTGTTGGGCGCCTCGGGCTTCACCGGCCAGTTCGTGGCCGAGGAGGTGGCCCGGGAGCAGGTGGCCACGGACCAGAGCCCCCGCCTGCCCTGGGCGGTGGCGGGCCGCTCCGCGGAGAAGCTGAAGCGAGTGCTGGAGAGGGCTGCCCTGAAGCTGGGTAAAGGGGCGGGGGGCGGGTTCCGGGGCCGAGGCGTGGGGGTCGCCCGCCGCGAGCGTTTGTCCTGCAGGGGGGCGCCCCTGGGGCCCCCCGGGCCCGGCCGCACGGCCGCAGGAGGCGACGCGGGGGGCTGGTGGCCCGGCTTTGTTCCACTCCCTCGACGAAATACAGAAATAAATACGCTTCTCCTCCGTGGAATTCCTCCTCCTCTGGTGTGGCGGGTCCCCCTGGCCGCGTAGACGGGGACGCCGGCTCGCCCTCTCCGCGCCCCGCGTCCCTCTGAGCAGGGCCCCCCGGCGGGGCTGCCGGTCTCCCCGAGTCTGGTCGGATGGGAAAGTGGGGCGTTGCTTCCTTCGGGGTGCTCCGTCCTGTCCCCCTCGCCTTGCCTTTTCGGAAGCGGGCGGGAAACCCTAACAGATTTTTGGTACCGATGTTGCGGCTTTCATGTCTTAATTTCTTTTTGGCTTGTAAGAACCGTCCAGCAGGCTTACTCTTTCTTGCGCCCTCCCCACACTCCATGCGCCCCGTTCGTATTTCATTCAACATGTTTTTAGTTGACAGCATTCATACAACATATTTTTAGTGCGTGGTCTTTTCTGTGCCTGGTCCCGTTTTAAGGGCTGGGGATACAGATGTGACAGGCTGCACACATACACGGACTCTGCCCTCACGATCGCGGGGGTGGGGGAGGCACCTAATTTAGGGCTTGGTTGTATTTTGCACCCCCGCCTCCCCTCGCGCAGGCCCATAGCGCCTGTTAGAGGTCCGGGTCTACTGCGTGCTTGTGTTTTGTTTTTGTTTTTGTTTTTTATATATTTTTATTTATTTCTAGGAGAGAGAGACAGCGTGAGCAGGGGAGGATCAGATAGAGAGGGAGTCACAGACTCTGAAATAGGCTCCAGGCTCTGGGCTGGCAGTCAGCACAGAGCCCGACGCGGGGCTCGAACCCACGAACCGCGAGATCATGACCTAAGCGAAAGTCGGACGCTTAACCGACTAAGCCACCCAGGCGCCCCAGCTTGTGTTTAATCTTCACCGCAGCGTCCTTCTCATTCCACCCTGAGCCTGCTTGTGGTGGGAGGTGTAGACTGTTCTGTTTGTGATTATGTGCAGAAGATTCCCCGGAGGCTCAACTCTCCTACAGCTCTTTTTGCTGCCCCAACCATCTACCGTGTCCTGACCAAAGAGCTTGTTGGTGTTCTTTGTTTGTTTGTTTTACTTTTCCAAAAGAAATAACTTCAAGCTTTGCGCAGTGGCAGTATAGTAGCCAATGAGGTTTATCCGAGGCGCGATTATTGCTAATTGAAAACTTTTCCCAAAAGAAATAACTTCACCATTAAAATGCTTTCTTCCATTTCTTTTTCCTGCTCAAGAAGACTGTCCAAGTGCAGCCTGATTAACTACCTTGGTAATGCCTGGATTGAATTACTGTGGGGGATACACCTTGACCCTCTAGAGCCTGAATTACTTTATTGATTCTAGTTAATTCTAGTTATTTACTTGTAAACCTATCACGAGCGTTTTTAAATTTTTTTTTAAATGTTTATTTATTTTTGAGAGAGGGACAGAGCGTGACCTGGGGAGGGGCAGAGAGAGAGGGAGACACAGAATTCCAAGCAGCTCCAGGCTCTGAGCTGTCAGCACAGAGCCCGACCGGGCTGGAACCCACAATCCCACGAACCGTGACATCATGACCTGAGCCACAGTTGGACACTAGCCACCGAGCCACCCAGGCGCCCCGTGTCATTAACGTTCTTGCCTAGACTGTACTTCCTACCCCAGAGTCCTCTTTGTTCTCCTTACGATGATCTTAACCCCATTTTACGCCCATGTTTTGTCGTATGTAATTGGTTAGTTGTTGATGAGAAACTTTTCATAATGGAATTCTTGGCGGAGAGGAAAACAGGACAGTGATGTCCTCAGTGTCTAAACAATTGTAAAATTGTCAGTTTACACAGGGTTATCTACATTCTGCTTAAGGTAGTTCTTTTTTTTAAGGTCAGTGCTGTGTTTTCCTAGCAATTCTTAGTATTAACTCCGTTTTCCTCCTAGCTTTTTCTTTTTTATATCACCTAGTTTAAATTTTTTTTATCTTGTCAGTGTATTTACTGAACGTACCATTGCTGATGACTATAAAAAGGTCTAATACTGTATCCGATTTGTTTAAAACGATTTATTTCTGGAGCGCCTGGGTGGCTTAGTCGGTTAAGCGTCCGACTTTCGCTTAGGTCATGATCTCGCTGTTCGTGGGTTCGAGCCCCGCGTCGGGCTCTGTGCTGACTGCCAGCTCAGAGCCTGGAGCCTGTTTCAGTCTGTGACTCCCTCTCTCTCTGACCCTCCCCTGCTCACGCTGTCTCTCTCTCTCTTTCCTAGAAATAAATAAAAATATTTTTTAAAAAAACCGATTTATTTCTTATTTTAGGAAGACCGACGCTGTCGTCTGAAGTTGGAATAATAATTTGTGATGTCACTAATCCAGCCTCACTCGATGAAATGGCTAAACAGGCATCTGTTGTCCTCAATTGTGTCGGACCAGTAAGTAATCAGCCCTTTTTTGTATCAGAACAAACAGTCTATTCATTTCTAGCAGAATCTGGTATTTTATGTTCTGGAGGAACATAAGGGCAGGGAACAGAAGAATTGGTTCAGGGCCTCTGCTCCATCCGGGGGAGTTTTGACTTCCAGTGAGGAGCAAACGGACCTGACTACAGTGTCCTGAGAGGCAGGCCAGTCCCTCTGACACCAAACCCAAGGAATGTGTGCAGCTTTGGTTACTGGTTACAGCTGTAATTGCCAACTTTTTTTTTTTCTTACTGTATGCTTCTTTTTTTTTTTTTTGGTAAGTTTATTTATTTATTTTGAGGGATACTTGCACTCAAGTAGGGGAGGGGCAGGGAGAGAGAGAATCCCAAGCAGGCTGTGCACTGTCAGCACAGAGCCTGACTTGAGGCTCGATCCCGCAAACCGTGATCATGACCTGAGCTGAAATCAGGCTTAACCCACTGAGCCACCCAGACGCCCCTCTTATGGTCTGCTTCTTATGTAAAAAAAAAAATGTTTGCGTGTGTACCCCTGCCATGTTTTTTATTTACCTGTAAATGATATTCCTTATTACTGTACCAATATATGTGTTAAAGACATGTACAGAAATAGACTAGAAAAGGATTCATTTATTCAACAAATATTTATTGCACACAAACTGCACTAGTGAAGGTCCCTGGGACATAATGGAGAACTAAACTACAAATCCTTCGTGAGGGAGACAGAAAGTAGGGTTCTCAGTAGGTAATGAAAGTGCGGTGAAGAAAAATAAGGCAGGGTAAGGAGATAAACTGTTAGTCAGATGGGTGGTCAGGGAAGACCTCCGTGATAACTGACATTGGTGTAGAGACCTGAATGAAGTGAGGGGGTTAAGCTATGGGAGCATTTGAGAAGAATGTTCCAGAGGAAAAGCAGGTACAAAGGTCCTGAGGTGAGTGTGCATTTGGCAAGATTGAGGAATGTGAGGGAGGGCAGTGGGGCCCCAAGCAGGGCCAAGGTGGGAAGTTAGGTTGGAGAGGAACCCGCCAATTAGGCCAGAGGGTCTGACGGGCAAGGTCAGGGTTTGAATTTTCTTCAGTGTGGCAGAGTCTGAATGGTTGAAAGCAGTAGCAGCTCCTAAGAAGAGGTGGTAGGGGGCCGATGGGTGAGGGGTCCCAGCAAGCGGAGCACAGCATGTGGTAAATGGGTGGGATCCGAGGGTACTCTCGCTACGTGAGGGGGACACCCTTGGCCTGTGCAGCAGGGGGATGTTGGGGACATTTACGGACCTAAAGAAGCCATCACAGTTGGCAAAACCTTTGAAAACTAAGCATCTAGAAGGCTCATGATAATGTTTTCAGTGAAAGCAGGAAGGTTTTCTGACTATCAGTTAAACTGTAGTTAAGTTGTTTGTTTAGATGAATCTCACTCCCGGCTAGGTTGGATTCTGTGCTCTGTGGCTCCCGTCACTCTCTTAGACATGCCCTTGGGCAGCCTTCTTGCCCTGCCCTGCCCAGAATTCTGGAAAAATCCAAACCCGGTTACGCCAGCCCCGCTTGCTCGACCTGAACAGGAACCCGTGTTATCCGGTAAGCCAGTACCTCCGAGTGTCTGAAGACACCCTTGATGACAGTCCTACTTTAAGTATGTGGTCACACACCTCATGGGCGGCTTCTGTGCCTTAGAATCCGTGCCCCATCGCCCCAGACTGCCCTCTCCCCCGACACAGCAGTTTTACAGCTTCTCTCCTCACCTTTGAAGCCTCCCGTCCCTCTTTCCCCACTCTGATGATTTCATTTCCTTTCCTTTTCTTCACCGTCACGAGGAACCCCCCCCCCCCCACTGCCTCATGGGTGCAGGATTTGGGGACCTTCTGTTTACCGTCCCACGCGTTTCTGTGTGTTTCTTTTTTAATTTTTTAAGTTTAATTATTTATTTTGAGACAGAGATAGTGTGAGTAGGGGAGGGTCAGAGAGAGGGAGAGAGAGAGAATCACAAGCAGTGCAGAGCCCGATGTGGGGCTTGAACCCACGAAACTGCAAGATCATGACCGGAGCTGAACCCGAGAGTCAGACGCTTAACTGACTGAGCCACCCAGGTGCCCCGCGCATGTTCACTATCCCATTTTCCCCCTTGGCTGTACTCTTTCTGTCCACACACAAATAGGTGATGACGTCTCTTATTTTAAAAAGGACACCTGTCCAACGACTCCATTTTTCTGGGCCCCCTTGCTAGCAAAACTTGAAAGAGTTCCCTCTCCTTGCTCCGTCCGCTTCCTCGGCTCCTGCTCTCCCCTCCCCCCCCCCAGCCACCCTTGCCAGGCTCCCGTAGGCCACACTGCTTCAGTGACATCTCTCCGCTCTCACTTTCAGGCGTTTGTCCCCACCCCTCACGTCCTCCCTCCTCTCTGCATTGGGCTTCTGGCCCTTTCCTCATTTTCCGTCTGCCGACCGGCTCTGCCGCCTTCCCCTCTGTGGGATCTTTTCATCTTCCTCTAAGCACCTGAGGCCTCAGAGCTCGAGCCTTGCAAACTGTTCTGTTTACACTCTCGAAGCCAGCTTTCAAAAAATTAATGTTGTAATAAAAGATACATAACAAAAAGTACCATTGTAACCATTTGTAGGTGTACAGTTGAATGGCATGAAGTACAATGACAGCGCTGCATAACCATTACCGTCTTTTCTCCAAAACTTTTCATCATCCCAAACGGAAACTCTGACTAGGTCAGGTTTTTTTTAGTTTATTTATTTTGAGAGAGTGAGAGAGAGAGCACACATGGGCAAGGACAGGGGAGGGGTGGAGGGGGAGAGAGAGAGTCACAAGCAGGCTCCAACATTGAGGTCTATCCCATGACCTTGGGATCATGACCTGAGCCGAAATCAAGAGCGAGACGCTTAACTGACTGAGCCACCCCGGTGCCCCCAGTTTTTGTTTTGTGCGTGTGTTTTGTGGTGTTTTTTTTTTTTTTTTTTAAGAGAGGTCTTTGGTGTGTCCTAACTTTCCTGTATTGAGCCAGTATTTTATAACAGTGTAGTGCAGATCAGGTTAGTGAGTTGAGGCTCAGCAGTAAGAAGAAAAAAATCAGGTAGCCTAGAACAGGGAACCAGTGAATGACACATAATATGGATAAGTCCTGGCTCATGAGACTTCTGTTTCCGTTAGATACATTTGTGTAGGGGCTGCTTTGTGAAGTGAATTTCTTAGCATGGCTTGTGGTCAGGAAGGTTTCAAAAGCCATGGCTTTAGGGGCGCCTGGGTGGCTCAATTGGTTAACCGTTGGACTTCAGCTCAGGTCATGATCTCACAGTTCGTGGGTTCGAGCTCCGTGTCGGGCTCTGTGCTGACAGCTTGGAGCCTGGAGCCTGTTTCGGATTCTGTGTCTCCCCTTCTCTCTGCCCCTCCCCTGCTTGTGCTTTGTCTCTGTCTTTCTCTCTCTCTCTCTCTCTCAAAAATAAATAAACATTTAAAAAAAAAAAAAAGGAAGCCGTGGCTTTGAATGCCGTGTGTGTATGCTGACGATGCCTACGTTCCTTCGGGACTGTAGACACAGCCACCTTCTTGATGTTTCCACCTGGAAGGCTCATGTGGTCGTCTCAAGGTTTTGTCCCCTAAACACCCGCTCTCCTTCCTAGGCTCCACTTGGATTGTTATTTTCACTTTGCCTGTTTCTTTCAAGTTTCATAACTTTGAATTCAACACGTTTCAGAACTTGTTCCTTTGCAGATATTTTTTAAGCCCATGTGTCCATTTTGTGAAGGTTTATTTAGTTAAAACCCAAGTGACAGCTGTAAAACCACTTAGGCACGTGTAAACAGGCGTGGGGCTGGAACACACTGAACATGAAGGAACAGGGGGTCCCGTGGCCCCCGTTCCTTGGCAGCTCCCCCACGCTACCCTCAGGATACCTTCCATGTCTTCCATTCAACGCGGGACCCAGGAAACCGGCCAGAGTCACTTCGTGTACTGACTGCTAATAAAACTTCATTTATTTCTTCGTGCTTCCTATGGAAATTAGCACGAATGAGCAGACTGGTACCTCCATAACTGAGGGGATGGTTCTGTGGCCCCAGAGGTCAGCGTGGCTGCTGGGGGGTCACGGGGGTAGACGGTGGAGCCCCAAGAGCAGGATTGTGGTTGCGACCCATAGCGCACCGGCTTCCCTAGGGAGAACTGTCTCCTCCGAGATCAAGGGTTACTACTGCGTGTCCATTTGTAGAAAACCCCCAAAACGTACTAATCTAGGGGTGTTAGCACAGAGGTCTGCTCCTCAGTTGTGCTGGAGTGCAGCGTGAGGAATGGGGGGCCATGGAGAAGGGGGGAGGGCACGCTCTTTCCAGAAGGAGCTGCCATTATTTAAAAAAACTCCTTAATGCTTTACTGCAGCTCGCTAGTACTTATAGAGGACTCGAGCGGCAGACCGCTTGCAGCTCGCTAGCTGCGCCGGGGCAGTGACCCCACGGCTGGGAGGCTGAGGCTAGAGCCAGCCTGGCAGCCACGAGCAGGGAGGGTGAAGAAATTGCGTGTTTAGGAAACTACATGGGGCGCGCCTGGGTGGCTCAGTCGGTTAAGTGTCTGACCGACTCATGTCATGATCATACGGTTTGTGGGTTTGAGCCCCACGTCGGGCTCTGTGCTGACAGCTAGCTCAGACCCTGGAGCCTGTTTCAGATTCTGTATCTCCCTCTCTCTCTGCCCCTCCCCTGCTCACACTGTCTCTCTCTCTCAGAAATTAAAATTTAAAAAAAATTTTTTTTAATTAAAAAAAAAAAAAGCAAAGAAACAACACAGAGTTTAGAGCTTCTGGAACAAAAAGATTAAGGGACTGTGCCATGCCCTGAGGCTTGAGCACTTTCCGTGACATGCCAAGAAGTCTGGACCTTATGCTGTAGGAATAGAGGCATTGCAGAACTAGCGAATGATCTGTGTGTGGGGGTGTGATGGAGCACGTGTGTCCTCAGATTTTTATTTTAGAATAACAGTTTGGTTTTTCTTTGGCAATGGGGTAAGTTTGGTTGCAGCAAAACTAGTCACTGTCTGCAGTGAACTGGATGACAGGTGGCAAGGGTGTGAACTCAGACTTGGAGGGGTAGAGGGGAAGCTTGGTAACTTCCAGGGTAGATGGAGTCAAAGACAGCGGCTGGGTCTCTCACTCAAGGATGCGGGCGATCGTGACAGACAAGGACACTTAACGCGTGCTCCTGCTAAGCTGTTTGTGTTGTCCTATTTCATCCTAACTACAGCCCCGGGACGTGGGTGCTGTGACTATTCATCTTTTTTGATGAAGAAATCGAGGCTTAGAAGGTGAAGTAACTTGCCCAAGTTCGCCCAGCTAGTGGGCTCAGAGCCAGGACTTAAGTCAGGCTCGACCTTAAAGCTCTGGACACCCGTGCTCGTCAGCCGTTTGCACGGTTCTGTCTCCTCAGGGTCCCTAGTGGCCCCAGGTCAGGACAGGAATGGTGAGTAGGGCCCCGGCGGGCTGAGCCACCGCTGACACTCTAATCGCTAGGCCTTAGTCACCTGTGTTTCGGAGTAGTGGAGGGAAACAGACTTCGTAAGAAAGATGATAAATTTGATTTTGGTTATGTTGAAACTGAGATGTCTGCTCAGTATTCTCTTTTTTTTCTTTTTAATGTTTTATTTATTTATTTTGAGAGAGACAGTGTGAGCAGAGGAGGGGCAGAGAGAGGGGAAGAGAGAAAAAATTCCAGGCAGGCTCCGTGCTGCCAGTGCAGAGCCCAATTCGGGGCTTGAACTTACGATCCATAAGATCATGACCTGAGCCAACATCAAGAGTTCTATGCTCAACCGACTAAGCCACGCTGGCGCCCTGCTTCCCCAGAGTATTCTTGAATAAAGATAGGAAATACATATCATATAGCAGAGTTGTTACTATCTTTTTAAGTAAGCAAGGAAATCAGGGTGAAGACAAAATAGGGGAGGGAAAATGAAGCCAAAGTAAAATTAGTTTTATGCACAAATCATGCCCCATCTCCTGTGCTCCTGTTGGTCCTGAACTTTCTAACAGAAACCAAAGACACGGAAGCATCTGCTAGCAGTTCTGGAGACAGAGGTTGAATGTCATCAGGATACCTGCTGTAGTTGACATCAGGAGAGTAGGATTTCCAGGGAGATTCGGCAGTCCTGGTGTGCGCAAGAATCACCCACAAGGAATGTTCCTGGGGTCGATCTCCAGAGACTCTGACTTGGGGAGCCTCTGGCGTAGGATGGGGTAACCAGCATACTGAACAAGTCATCTAGGTGATTTTAACGCAGGTGGACTCCTGGCCAACTTAAGAAACTTTGGGAGAAAATAAACAAGAGAAAACCCCCAAAAAGTCTTTAAATGAGTTTCAAAGAGGATGTGTTTAGATCTTAAGTATTAACCCAAGATGAAAAAGAGCTTTGGGGCACCGGGGGGACTCAGTCAGTTAAGCACCTGACTCTTGATCTCAGCTCACGTCATGATCTCAGGGTCATGAGTTCAAGCCCCAACTTGGGCATGATTTCTTTCATTTTAATCTCTATTTCTATTTTATGTTTGTTTTGATTTTTTTAAATGTTTATATTTGAGAGAGAGAGACAGTGCACGAGCAGGGGAGGGGCAAAGAGACAGACACAGAATCTGAAGCAGGCTCCAGCCTCTGAGCTGTCAATACAGAGCCTGACGCGGGGCTCGAACTCACGAGCAGTGAGATCATGACCTGAGCTGAAATCAGGCGCTTAACCAACTGAACCACCCAGGCGCCCTATTTTATGTATGTTTAGAGTATATGCCGGTCGAGCAGCCTGTGTAAATGATCTGTGAGTAAATTCATATAGCTTGGAGGTGATGGATTCAAGGTGTGAACTTGCATCTGGTCGCTTTGAAAGCCCTTACTTGTCCCATGTACCATGTTGCCTCAGAAGCTAAGTGCTTTAGTAATTTTACATGGTTAATGCCACAGGAGGGACTAGAACTGAAACAGACATCCCAGTCCAGTAATTCCAATGTCATTTGCTGTTCTTCTTCTCTTTTTTTTTTTTTTTTAATGTTTAGAAAGAGTAGAGCATGAGTTGGGTAGGGGCAGAGAGAGGGGGAGACACAGAATCTGAAGCAGGCTCCAGGCTCTGAGCTGTCAGCACAGAGTCCACCGCGGGGCTTGAACTCATGGACCACAAGATCATGACCTGAGCCTAAGTCGGACGCTTAACCGATTGAGGCACCCAGGCGCCCTATCATTTGCTATTAAGAAGGGGAAGGGGATGTGGAGGTAATGCTTAGGGAGTCAGGTAGTGAGGATAGCATGTTTGACCTACTTGAAAAGATCAATCCTTACATCTGCCCCGTCTTTTCCTTTAAGTGTTCCTTTACTTGTTTCTGAAAGGCTAGAATTAAAAAACAATATTCTTTTGCTTCTAGGAATGAGAAAAGGGAAAAATTTGCTGTGCATCTTTTTAAATGGGACCAACTCTGATGTATTAGTTATTATACATTAACAGTTTTGTTTTGGGGGCACCCAGGTGGTTCAGTCGGTTAGGCGGCCAAACTCTTTAATTTCGGCACAGGTCACAATCTCCTGGTTTGTGAGTTTGAGCCCCGTGTCAGGCCCTGCACTCACTGTGTGGAGCCTGCTTCAGATCCTCTGTCTCCCTCTTCCTAGCCCTCTCCCACTCACGCTCTTTCTCAAAAAGAAAGAAACATTAAAGAAATTGAAAAAAATTTTTAAAAAATTTTGCTTTGATTCCTTGAGTTTGAGCAGCCTATAATTTGGGTGATCCAAAATCATGTAAGGTCAGAATATGTACTGTGTCCAAGGTTAAACTTACCCCCCTAAACCTTCTCCACTTCCTGTTTTTCTTTATTTTGGCTGATTTACCAGTCACCCCCATGCCCATTGCTCCCCATGTCCGATTCATCAGCAGGCCCAGTCGTTTCTGCGTCTTTAATGATCTCACGCTTAGTGCATCCTCTCCACAAACCCCCTCCCCCCGAGCTGAGCCCTTCGTCGTCCTCACCAGCCAGGGGCTTTGTTTCCCAGGACAGCACGCGGACTGGTGCGCCTCCTCTGTTAACCTTACACCACTGTCCTACTTCAGATGCCCCAGGAGGGCCGAGTGACCCAGGAAAGATGGGGTTCTGGCTAGTTAGCGGGGTGCTGGTCCTTGTGGATCGGGCCATCGTGTTTCTTCCCAGCCCGTCCCGTCACTCCCTCTCTGCCCTGTGCCTCACGTGTCCTTCCTCACACCTTTGCACATGCTTTTTCCTTTATCTGGATTTTTCTTTTTTCTGCCAAATCCTTGTTCTTCAGAATGCTTGCAAATAAACCACTTATTCTAGAAAACTTCCCATTTTGTTTCCAGTCAGAGGTAAGTGCTCTTTCCCTGCTTCCATCGCTCCTTCCTTGGGAGCTGTCACAGTACAGTCACGTGATTTTCTGTTTATCTTTCCGCTACTTTATTAATATTTGATTCTTTTTTATGATTTTAATATTTTTAAACTTTATTTCAAGCAGGAAGAGAGAAAGAGGGCGAGTGAGTGTGCAGTGGAGGGATAGAAAGGGAGAGAGAGAGAATCCGCATTGTGAGCACAGAGCCTGATGTGGGGCTCAGACTCCCCAACCATGAGACCATGACCTGAGCTGAAATCACGGGTTGGACAGTTAACCGTCTGAGCCACCCTGGTGCCCCTTAATATTTCAGTCTTGATAACCAAGACTACTTGCAAAAGACAGTGGCATTTCATTCATTTAAGCTAACTGAGTATGAGTTAACTGCTGGTTTCCTTTATCCCTCCCCTCAGTATCGATTTTATGGAGAACCCGTAGTGAAAGCATGTATTGAAAATGGAACGAGCTGTATTGACATCTGCGGAGAACCTCAGGTACGTCGAATGGAGAGGAGGAAATGGAATTAGCAACCCAACTTCCTGTTAGCGTGGAAAATATTCAGTGCCATTTTGCAGACCTCTTTTAGACTTGATGCCCCCACCAGACAGATGGTGTTCCGTGCATGGCACGAAGGGGAGCCTGATGGGAAGGTCTCTTCCATTTTCCTGAATTTTTTTCTTCCTCACCACCTCACTCATTTCAGGTCTTTGGTAGGTAGGCTGTGCTGAATTTTATAGCTACGGCAAGAGCGAATGGAATTAATTGCAGTGGTGCGCCATGCACAGATTCTTAGAATCGCACTTCTGTAACTTTTTCGTAATGCTGTCCCTTTTTGTAAACAGACACCTTTACAGCATTGAAGAAAAGTAAGCGTGAAGTCCTCTCAACCTGAAAGTGTTAGGTGTTCACACTGAGTGCTTACCACCCCGGCACTGTGCTGATTAAGCATTTATGCGATGTGAATTTTCAGCCTTCCTGTACAGTAGATGTCGTCTTTCCTGTTTTGTGAACAAGGAAGTCGAAGCTTAGGAAGGTTAAGTCATGTGGCTCAAAGTCATGCAACTAGGAAGTACGAGAACCAGGACTTGAGGTTTGCCCTATTGCAGGCACGCTAGTGAGCAGCAAGCTCCACACCTTCTTTAACTGTCACCTCGTGGCCCTGTAGTCTCTGCGGGTCACCATCACCAGTGTGGCAGTATCGTAACGTGTCGGCAGATACTGGGAAAGTGTAAATTACCAAAACTGACCGCAGAAGACAGAGAGGTGCCTGGCTGGCCCAGTCCCTGGAGCACGCTACTCTTGATCTCGGGGTTGTGAGTTCAAGCCCCACACTGGGTGTAGAGATTAGTTAAAAATCTTTTTTTTTTTTTTTTAAAAAAAAGAAGAGGTAGAAAACATGAATGAAGCAAAAAAAAATAATTCCAATCTTTTTTTCCCTTATGTTTATTTGTTTTTGAGAGAGACAGAGATAGAGACAGAGCATGAGTTGGGGAGGGGCAGAGAGAGAGGGAGACAGAATCTGGAGAGCAGGCTCCAGGCTCCGAGCTGTCAGCAGAGAGCCCAAGGTGGGGCTCAAACCCTCAAACTGTGAGATCATGATCTGAGCCGAAGTTGGACACTTAACCAACTGAGCCACCCAGGTGCCCCTGAAGTAATTCCTATCTTATTTAAGAACAGAACTCCCAGAGCAAAGAAAAGGTTGAAAAATTTCTAAAGTATCTTATAAATTACAATAAAAGTGATATCAAAACTTAATAAAGATCCGGAATATATAAAGAACTCTTATAAGGCAATAATACAAATTCAAATAACCCAGTTAAAAATAGGCAGAGGGATGAGTAGAGACAAGAGTTCTTACTGTGTAGAAGAATTCCAAATAATTTATGTAGCCACCCCACCATGAGGCAGGGAGCATGACCCCCCTGCTTACCTGTGGGCTGCACTGAGTCCTTCCCTCCCGAAGAGAATGGTATGGGAGGGAGGGGGAGGAAGAGAATAACCTGGCAAAACCTGACGGCCACCACCTCAGCCAGGTGTTTGAGGTCAACATCAACACTGATAAATCACATTGGTACTTGGTACCCTTGATAGAATGTCGTGAAGTGACCCTTTACCCCTATGGTCTTCCTCCCCAAACCCGGAACCCCAGTCTAGTCTTGAGAAAAGCTCCCGTAGAGGGGCAGTCTACAAAATACCTGATCAGAAGGCCTCAAAACTGTCAAGGTCCTCAGAAAGAAGGAGACTGAGAAACTGTCACAGCCAGGGGAGCCTTAGGAGACGTGACCACTAAACGCAAGGCAGAGTCCTGGCAGAGAAAAAGGAAGGAAATCTGGAGAAAGGACGGACTGTAGCTAATGATAGTGTTACCATTATTGCTTCACTAACTGTAACAAATGTGAAGGTCAAAGGTATATCGATGGGGGAAACTGGGTGAGGTGCGTGGGAACTCCTACTCACATTTTCTGCAGATCTGACACTGTTCTAAAAGTAATCATTAAACACGGGCAGAGGATTTGAACAGACATTATTTTCTTCCATCCCTCCTTCCCTCCACTTGCTTTACTCTAACTATATATATATATATATATATATATATATGCATGGATACATGTCCGTAATCGTGTCCATCCGAGGAATAGGTTTGGGTTAAGCTTTCTTGCTTTTTTGTATTTTTTTGTATATTTAATTTTTCATAGATGTTACTCTGATGCTTAAAAGTCACTTTGAAAAAATTGATAGTGTCGTTAAGTCAGCTCAGCCTGTGTCCTGCACTGCTTGGCATATGGTAGGTATACAGTAAATACTTGCTGAACAAGTGAAAAACATTGTGGCAGTTAGTATTTCACTGTAAAGCCATACAGGTTAGCGTTTTCAAAATGCAATTGCTTTGAGAGGAGAGGGCAAGATGGCCGAGAAGTAAGGAGCTCCATACTTGCACTCGCGCCCATACATCACACAGAAAAGATCTGAAGCCATTGGAAACCTTACAAAACCTGAGAGATTGGGAGAAAAAGGACGCAGAATCCACTGAGAGAGCCTTCTAATGTGAGTGCGAACTGGGGAAGATAAAATCGGG